GTGGTGGTAAAGTGAGCAATAAACAAGTTCGTTGATCACCGTCAAACACGAAACAACGGTTCACACGAATGTGTTGTGACTTGTAGATTAGATACCTTTGCTGGTTCACAAAGCTAAACTATTACGACTCTAAAACTTTCTCAAAAGCTGACAGGAATGAGTATTATTGTGTTTAATGAATATCTGCTGTAAGTTTTCATAAAAGATGTACAATTTTGAAATTCTAAAATAACCATGAACATACGTAGGTATAAAAGGTTACATTATACCTTGTTGCATTTAATAAAATAATTTTATAAGTTATTTTCTAACTGACACCATTTGGCAAGTTCCAGCTAAAATACAAGCACAAAGATATATTTAGGAATAACGCTTTTATGTAAATTACACAGTGAAATATGTAAATACAAGTCGCCATTTAGATACAAAAAGGAATAAAGAGAAGGGAATAACTGAAAACGAATAAAGAAAGATATTGTTTGCATGGTGAATTTGAAAGACGTAAATTAACATTCGAAATATTTAGGTTGTACATTAAATTAATATTGTTTATTATAGGCAGATACCTATTAATTATCGATTGTTAATTAAATATACTATAGGTTATATAGAAAACAAAATTTCCAATCGAATTTTGAGACAAATCCTTTTGCCAGAAACTACAATTTTCCTAGCCAGAAGCTCTAAGGTTTCCTAGACACATTTCTCTCTTAGATCCCTAGACATGCAATAAACATATTGAACATATCCTTATCCTTAATACGTTCAATATATTCTAGTAAAAGTTGGCTTGTGACGTGTTCGGGCTTTTCATAAGAAGAAAATCCACTTTCCACTCGTGGATAATGTTATAAATTGGTTTGTAACACTTATTTTTAAGATGTTTTAATATTCTTTACATTTTGGAAAATAATATCTGTATGTATACTGATATTTAATTATTTATGTACAATTTCTATTCATACTAATTAAACCAGTCTTTACAATTTTCAAATTAAATAAGAATGTCTAATAAAAAAATTGTATTTGCAACTAATACCTTACACAAAAATACAAAAAGAATTTTATCGACCAATTAATTACATCAAACTTTGCTCTTGAACTTTATAAACTATATTATTCTATATAAATAGAGAGTTATGATTTTCTGGTGGTGAAATTTAAACCATTAATTCTTAGTCACTTACCAGAACACTAGGAGAAGTCTTGTATTTTATTATTATCTTTACTAATATCATCAGGTGAGCCGCATGCTCGTTTGCCCCTTGTGTTGTAAAAAAAATCTAAATCAATAGTAAATTTAACAGGCAGCACGAATATAAAAATATATTCATATATATTCTTACGTATGCCCTTATAAAAATCAATTGTTTCATCTCAAACAAGTCGTATAAACAAATCAAAGATATAATTACCACATCTCTTTTACGTGGATATGTAAATTCACGTTGCGTGAAATCTCAATTCCCATTAATAGAAACCGCTTCGCATGGGAATAATTACAGGTAAACAATAGAGAAACCTTGGTATGCTATAGCTAACACAGTTATTCATCTATCCATTGATTACAATACGTAAAAGATTTTTTAGTCATCTCCAATTCGAATCATTTAATATTCTATTGGAATGTATAAATATGAATATTTTAAATGTTCATTAGTAAATTATATATAAATAATTAAAGTAAGTTAGTTAAGGAAAGTGTAATTATAATTTAAACTTTATAAATTATTAAATTATCTAAATAATAAAAATGTACAAAGAAAGTATTAGAATAGAAATAGAAATTTATTATTTGACAAAAAACACAATGTTAAAATATACAAGATACAATGGGCCCCACACTTCACAATGTGTGTACTATACGTACATTAGTATTTTTAATACTTACACACACATAAAAAGAACAATAAAATTGAAACAAACTTCCCTTTCAGTCAGATAAAGAGTCATTCACGTATATTTTTATTTAAAAAACGGTATTAATAATTTGCAATGTTAAACGAACTTACGAGTATTATCACAAACGTGATCATGTTATGTAGGTATAAGGCAGATACGGAGGGTCAGAGAATGTTGAGCTTGTTTCTATTTAGGTATTTATCAGTTTTCGATATTACTGTTATATTATGTAATACTGATTTAGACAATTCATTGGGTAGTATCTTTAAAAAATATTTAATAGTGATTCCGATAACTAAATATAAAATAATGCTCTATAAAGATATACTTCCATCTAGTACATTCCAGTTTAATAAAGTCATCGCATAACTTAACACGTATGTAAAAATGGAGGTAAACTAAGAACCTTTTGAACATTTTGGAAGTATTAAAAACTACTAAGTTATTTTATTCTTCATCAGGTAGCAAAGAGCAGCTGTTAATAACACCTGCCCATGCAACTGTCATGGCAACCGAATACAACATATGGCGAAACTGTTTTTTAGTATAATATTATACTGAACTAACATATCGATTTACAATATATATATATATATATATATATATATATATATATATATATATATATATATATATATATATATATATATATATATATCTCATCAAAATCAATGAAATCTTCCTGATACTATAAATTTAATTATTTGCTTATTAATTTAGTAATTTACAGATTATTGGTGTTAATTGGTAAAAGAATAAGTTATTTTAAATATATTTTCTTTGTATTTAAATACTTACACTATTAATTGTTATACGTATCTATTCATAAATAATAGCAATGTAGGCATGTAATTAATTATAAAAAAGAGTCAAGGACAATGAAAGACAATTAAAATGTGGAATAGGTAACATTGTGCAGTCCCAAGAGCAAACAGCCATCACCTTTATGACGTCATTACTAGTTTTGACAACATAGAACACAAAGGATTAGACCAGCTAGCGCCTTTTCATTATCGCACTAAACCCAAAGGTTAAGTGACCTTGTAACACATAGAGCATGTCGTATATTGAACTCGAATTCGGTATTGATCGCACCTTATTGATACTTAGGTTATATTGACGTTAATAATATGGCAAAGACAATTTTATGGTACAATACTAATGTGTATAAAAACAGTAAAACTAAATACTTTTTCATGGTACATTTAAATAAATTAAAAAAATAAGCAACAAGGTGATTTAACTTTTTACAGCCTTATTAGTGTTTAATAAAGCAATTATATAATACTCATATGTAGCTTAAAACGTATTAGGTATAAAGTTGGTTATGAAACTGTAACATTTTAAAAACAAATATTTGTAAATTTAATTAAAAAATGTGTATATGTACACTAATGTTCATGACTTAATTTAAGATGCCACTAATAATATTATATTCGTTATGCTGACCTTAGCTAACACTTAAGACTTGTTAAGTTTTACATAAAATAGAGACCAGTCAAATGTTAAATTATATTTCTGACGAAAACAATTCAGGAATCAATCGTGAAGAAGTAGACAATTTTAATTTATAACGTGACAAATTTTTAAAACAATAAGTAGTAGAAAATAATATAAGTATTAACTAATAAACCTAAAGTATGTATTTAGGTTAGAATACGATAAGCAAAATAATTTTAGGAAAGAACCAGTTTGGCAGGAGCATTATAAATTTACAAAAAGAAGTTTATCGCTTACCTAATTACCATAACAGTGGCTACATGTGCCATTCGTGCAAAAAGTTTATAAATTTCTTTATATGATGTACATATAAAATATTTTTTCGATAGACGAAATAGATTAAATTTTTTTTTAAATGCATTATGTGTTTAACTAAGGTCGTGGTCCTAAACATTGAAGGTAAATCAGCATTAACACAGTTCCTTACCCAAAGCTAAAACGAGCAGAAAAACTAGCAAATGACGAATAGATAAAATACATAATAGAGCAAATATGCCAAAAGACGTTAACATCGATATGACTAGTACAGTTAGAACCAAATAAAGACGTGTTGGCAATGACATCAAGGACGCTATTACTATTAGTAAAGTGTAATATGAATTGCAAAGTCTTCAAGTTCATTGAGTTGTTAATAAAATTATTCAAACTATTTATGTGATACGATTAAGAAAACATGACACCAAAGCACTCATGCATATAATTCAAGCAATTCTAGTATTCGGCGAATGCAATCAGTTCATATATAGACATATATAGAATCTTAATAGTATTATTTCATACATTCAAAAAACAAATATTTTATAGTCTTTTATTCATGTTTAATATAACCAGAATGAACTAAAGATATCAAATTTATAATTATTGTACTGAAATTATAGATATTTAATAGGTTAAAGTTAAAATATAGAATACTTTTGTTCCAAATATTGATCAGAGAGTAAATTTTATTTTCAAAGCAAAACGCAAGTTACGTTATTAAATTAATGTACGTAACAGTATTCATGCCGAAATATATTGCCCAGAGTATATGTTAATGTAAGGTATTTGCAACATAGACAAATCCATAATCAGTAACTGATAAGATTGGCTTAATTTTCAAGGGCATGGAAAATCATTATGGGAGTTACAGTAAACTGCGTAAAATTGTTTTGAAAATAGCAAAAATAAATATTTACCTCGTCGGAGATAGGAGAGCCGAGTGGTGAATCTTTGGGACTTTTTGATTTTATAAAATGTTTTTCGACTATGCTCGATAGAGATCGTCTTCTAGGAATCGCAAACATTTTTCATCAAATATTCACACAATTGAACACATCTCTAATAACATTTGAAGTACAATAAATGATATGCAAGTACAAATAAAAAAAAAAAAACTCAAATATTAGTATTAATATATAGCACGTCTGATCAACCTGAATTAACAGAGGAAAATGGCCACGAAAACTGTAGCACACCGCATAACATACTGATAGTAAACGGTAGGCGTCCAGGAAAATGTGCGATAACAGGACAATTTACATACGCCACTGTAAAAATTTGCTTCATAAGTAGCTTCGTATGAAATATCGGATAACACTAATTGTAACAGGTACAACTTGGTATTATACGCTAGTGGTATTAAACTGGAACAATTAAATACTAAAGTAACCTATTGTCATCAGATACACCGTATTCCATCTGAAGAAGAAGTTAAGAGTCTCTGAAACTGACACGGACATATGAGACAAGTCATAAAAATGCAGAAAGCAAGAGATATATCTAAGGATAGACACATAAAATTATAAAGAATTTTGTCACTCTGTTCTTTTAGCATACCACGTAAGTAATTTGGCGTGAAGATAGATAGATTATATTAATTTGACACTACCTATAAATATACGTCTATATCTATCTATATAACTTAGATAAAATCAACAAAAGCATTACACAGGCCATCGTCATTATGGCTGCCGCAACATTCGTTATACTCGCATTTCACCCTTTCATTTTCGAATGCAAAGAATTCGAAAATGGTTTGTAATTTTTGCTGAAAGGTAGTATAAGGGTAGTTCATATTTCAATAGACATTACATATCTACAGACTTAATTAAAATGTTATAAACATTTTGCAGCAATTTATAATACGAAATATAAACAAAAATGGCAAACTTACAGCTTCTTTAAAATATAATCTAGTTGACCTACAATTATTCCTTATAAGCAGGTAACACACTTTAAATTAGATTAGAGAAATAATAATAACAGATCATTTAGCTCTTGGTAATGTAGACGCGATATTATGCATAAATACATTAAGAATTGATTATTGTTTATGTATTTTCAATTGACTTCAAACAGAAGAAGGATCTCAATTAGGTTGTATTTTAAGTTTTATGTTACCTACCTCATAACACTGTCAGTTGTAATCTAATTTAGAAAATTACTTTTTTTATTGAAAAGGATATACTTGGATCTTAGTCCCTTATAAATTTTATAAAATCGGTTCAGTAGTTTAGTTTTTAGTACAAAATAATTAGTATTGCCATAATTGAAGTCGGCTTTTTTGTGGAAAGCAATCTTATTATTAACATGACTATACACTTATATATAATCATAACAGACAAAGTCCCTTTAATCCACAACACAATATGAGAAGTACCTCGTTTACAAAATAAACACCATAAAAAGAATAAACTTTATAGCATTGTCCAATCTAAACAACCCCGAAATCAAGCGGTTCTGGCAAATAAAGATAAATAGATTGATGAGCACGTACTAAATTGAACTATAATGCTTGATACATAAAGACCAAAATATGGTTCTCAAATGGAAGTATGAAGAAAAGGTGATGCACACGGATTTCCACTTGTCTCCAAAAGGAAAGTTAATGAAGAGAAAAGTCTGACCGCTAGAAAGAAAAGACAGTTTTACGTTAGAAAATGAGCAATAGAGTTGTTTTATAAACTTATTAACCAAAATGACATATTAAAACTGTTAGGACTGTAATAAAATTATCCGAGTCTATTATATTGATTACCATATTTTTTGTTACTAGTTAAATATTTATAAATCTGTTTTGAGTAAAAAAAAGCATTGAATACTTGTCGTTATTCATTTATGTTATGCTAGCTGCATACCGCGGCTTTCCCTATGTGAATTAGGATAAAAATTATAATAATAATTTTTATTTCTATACGTTCAATGTGTTAAACTTCATGCAAATACGTTCAGATGTCTAAATGTGATATTGAGTAAAAATTTTAATATTTAAACATCTTTAATACTTTATCCCGAACTTGCATATTTGTAATACTAGTAGATTGTAAGATTATCAGTGCTTTCTTTACTGCAACTGTGTATTGTAACTTTATTGAATGTGTGTGTAACTCTAACGTCAAACTACTAAATACGCTAAATATAATAGGTTCGTATTTATATCTTGACAGATTTAGAATATACAATTCTCGAATAGAGAAAACATTGAATAAAATAAAGGCATACAACTTGTATCGTTTTTTATTTCTTTTGAAATTACAGCTCCTTTGGATCATGGTGAAAGATGTTAACTGACGCTGAATATTCCATATGGAAACTTTTACCTTAAATATCTAAAACTTTATTATGTATTTGCAAAAACTCTGAGGCGTCTCATACATACTGACATATTTTACAGTTACTATAATAAAATAGCAACTAATATGATATTTGAAGTAACAAAGATGATTATATTTATTGTCTGTCCATTTAATGGCCAATTTAAATGTTTGGATAAATCATGTCGACAAACTACGAGATATTTTATAGACAGTATAGACACGTAATATTCAACACATTTGAATTTAGAGCAAGGAATCGTGTGTATACAAATATATTATGCATCGGAATAGACTTATTATGCCAAATAAATGTATTCCAAAAAATACATAGATATAAGCGAATCCAGAATCTCTTCTTTCAAAGTTGCTTAAAAAGTTAGATATCATTTAGTAGATTATAGTAGACTATAAAAGTCTATTATCTTAAAAAGATAGATAAGTAATAATTATAGAGCAAGCGCGGACTCTTATAGTTGCAAAGAAAATCTTATTATTACTCTTGTTTGTTTTCGTATAATTTGTTTACTAAATACATAGAACAAAATCGCAGTGGACGAACTTCGTCTTAACAGAGTGATTCGATTGAAAAGTTTGTAAAGCGACAGCCCTTAGTGAAGTTGTGCCGACCGGTGCACTCACGGTTTTTTGCACTTCGCCATTACAACACTTTGTATCGAAAAAACGTGGAAATAGAACTGAGAAAGAGGGCAAGTTCATTAATTGAAAGCTCTTTTAGTATACTTTTTATTATGATGAAAAAGTACATCTTACTCCGCAAATATGTGACATAAAATGTTTCGTGGACACAATAAATTTAAATTTTTTAAATTTAGAATACTTAATGACGTGTCTACAAGTAGAATAATTGTGTTTTTTAACGTGCAATTTCTCTAATATTGTGGGTGCCTATGGACGGCATGTAATCACATATCATCATGTGAGCCACATGCTCGTTTGCCCCTGTGTTATAAACAAAAAAACTGTCAAAATCTTTGTTAATTTTCCGTGACCATATTATTGTATTACTAATTCGTCTGCATGATCGAGGTATACTGATAGACAGTAATAAAAAGCCTAATATCCATCACAAATAATATTTGGTATATTTGGTACACACATACCAAATCTCATGTCAATTGAGTCGATATAACACTGAGCTGTAATACTTGTAAATAAATTCACGATTACATACATAGTATTAGTAAGAATTAATATTACAGGATTGACATATACATATGAATATATACTCGTATATACATAAGTGGGTATATATTGGAGCCATACTACTTGGCGCACGTTCAACTCAACCGAGCATGTATTGCCATCTCCGACGCGAAATGTTTACATACATGCTCACCCTAAAATATTGCAACGATTAAGTACGTGAGGTGCTTATATAAAAATTATTCGTATTATAAAACAAACTGATTTCTAAATGCAAAAGGCTGTTTAACAAGCGAAAGTCATGAAGACATCCTGCAATAAAAACATATGGAAATCAGTAAAGATATTGGTTTCGTTTCGGACATAAGTAATTCAATGTAACAAGCAGAAGTTTTGCATTTATGTTTTTTGTGTTTTTACTTCTTAATATAACTTATACTGTTTATATGAAATCGTTTAAAATATTTTTAGTTATGTACATATTTTTTATAATATAAGGGCAAACGAGCATGCGGCTTACCTGATGGTAAGCGACTATCACCACCCATGATCATCCGCAACATCAGAGGCATTACAGGTGACGAGGTGGCGGTGGTGATGAGGTTAAAGGAATTTACTGTTTTATTGATTTTTATTAATTCAAATTAATTAAAATTGAGATTAAATAAAAAGTTATAAACAGAGACACAGGGAACATTTTTATCTTAAAATCAACTTATTACTTACACTCTTATGAAATTTAATTTCATAAAGAGTCTTAATAAGACCTATTTTACTATTATCAAGTTTTTTTTACCTAACAAATATAAATAACTATCGCTAGTCGTAACCACACCTCAAGAGATGTATTGAGGTCCTTCAATTTATGTCGATTTCCAGTTTGGCGTTAGCAAAAAATGAGAACAGCGCCCTCTATATTTCAAAGTAGTCCATTCGCTGACATGGGTCAGTTTTATTGCTGCCTCGTGGTGTCACATATACGAATTTTCTCACAACCCTGCCCTAATTCTCATACATATTTAATAAGGGTCCAGAATAAATTTAACAGAAAACAGAAGAATTGAGGTCCATCAGATGATTTAGCTAAATTGCTCAAAGATGAAATTGGAAACCACCTTGTGAATTTAAAAAATATAGGTCACGTGGAATATATAAATTAAATACTACAGAGATGATAAATTAAACAGTACATCGAGATATATTTTGTAATACTGGAAGCTTTTAGGAATGTCATTACTATGACATAAGAATTTTGTGACACGCGCACACACTTCTACAGAACATAAAGTATACTCTATTAAAGCCTTTAAACTCCATTACAAATAAAATATATTACATTGATTTAATAATTTCACAAAAGACTTGGAGTTAAGAAATATACAACTACTTATAGATTTACAACTAATACATCTTACTCTATACTCGTAACAGCTACTTAACCGTATGCTCGACAATAATTTTAAAGATCACTTTCTAATATCATAGCAAACTATACTTTCGCTTTAAAAGTCTATAATAAATATAGTGAAAACATAGAGAATAAAGTTTGTAATGTGTTTTTGTTTAAGTGCTTTACTCGTACAAGTATGGGCTTTACATATGTTATTGCAAACCACTTTACTCTCTAATAAGAGTTGTCTGTAAATAAAAGAATAGGTACATCATCTTCATTTTACAAAATATTTTTAAAAATATTAAATATTAGCGACCCATGTTTTTTTTTCACTCCATTTGCACTCTTTGACCCATGCTTGGATTCGCATCTTTTTTTTTCCTTTTTAATATAATATAGCTGACGTTATTCGCTGATAGCCTTCTATACATTGCTGAATTTTTAAAATCAATAATCGAAGTATTTTTTATGTTTATTCTTTACAAATAAAATTAATATTATTATAAAGAGGAGAGGTGTGGTACCTTTCCTCATTATAATATTATTAATAGTTTAGATTACTGTAACCATATTAACGTAACGATATATTTTATTGTTATCAATATTTTATCTTTCTTCCGTTGCTCTATATCAGTTTGGGGGTTGGTGTATTACGGTTTTTAGTTCAATTTCTTTAGTTTTCACTCCTTTCCAAGAATATAATTTTTTTATTTATGTATATTTAATATAACATACTTTATTCATAATTCTTTATTTCGTGTCTTATCTTTAATTTGGTGATAGGATTAGATCTCAATCTACCACATATAATTCTTACTAGTAACATTTTCTTCATCTCTAAGTATCGCATGTTCTTACCAAAACATACGATTCAATAGAAACTCCTGTATTGTTGGTATTATTTGCAAATTTCTTTTTATATACTTATTCTCAGTCTTATATGTTTTTATTACATCACACAAGCAAAACAACAACCGCATCTAAACTATATATACTCAATTTACATCTGTCACTTTTTCGGGCCAACATTTAGATTCACTAAAGGAAGCGGAACGGATCATGTTGTTGTAAATCTTATTTAGTTGTGATTCAGTTTAATTTTATCAAGTACTATAATATTGAAAAGGAAATCGAACTTGTCTTAAATTGAAATTTCGGTACTTAATCAAAATGCAATAAAACCATTCATTTTAGTAAATGTTAAATCAAGGTTTATACAATATTTTGAATTTCGATTTTAGGTTAATTTAACTCTTTCTGTTGGTGAAACATGCAAATAGATATGTAATTAGTAATAAAATTTAATATACATTCATTTACTAATACATAAACTCGCACATTCAAGGTTAAATTGTGTCAGCAGATTGACTAGCATTATAATACAAGATTGCATTAGGTACCGTTAATATAATGCTTGTACGTACTCTGGCGCCATACATAATGATCGACTAATTTAGTCTTAAATTTTGTATGCACATAATCATTCAAAATCTCACAGCCGTATATCAATTTACTCTATCAACATTACCTATGTGGCTATATATGATCTATTTAATAATTTATTTTATTAAAGAATAGGAAATTTAAATACCGATTTGGGAATGTATGGAAAAAATCAAAGCCAAAACTTTATAATTACGTAATCTTTACACAGAATAATAATTGACGAAAACGCAAACTAAGCTAGTTTTGATAATAATTAAAATATAAAATCTGACTCTTTTGCAATACAGCAGATTAAAATTCAAAGTCATACGAAATATAAAACTGGACGAATATTCTACTTACAAATTAAAAATATAACGAAATAATGAATAGTTGCAATATTTGCCAACAATAGCTTACTCGTAAAACCGTTGCGCTAAAGAAATATGCATAATTTAATACTGAGCTATAATATATATATATAAGGGGTGTGTTAATTAATGTGAGTGACGATACTCCAGTCTAACTAAGCAACCATAAAACCAACCATTTTATTGAGTCAGGTGACGCAATAATATGACCTTCACCTAGCCAAGTAAGGATGGAGTAATTACTTTATAAAGTTCATACAGTCGACATATGTGACGTATAGATTTATTGGGATGAAAAATAGAATACACAATTTTTGTTATTCCATTGTCTTTAAATACAATTAATTTACTAGAGTTCAATTGTTTCATATCTTAAGACTGTTATCTACACATTCATCTTTGGAATGTTATCGCCTCATTTTCAGAGTCCTATGTCAAAATAAATATAAAAATATTTTAGAAATTGCACTTTTAGAGATAATAACATATTGCATAGATCCGTCACTTTGTGAAAAAGTGAAGGAGAAAAAAAACTACTTAAAAAAATCAATTTAATAA